CGAACAAATCAAGAGGTTCAAAAGATAATTCATTTGCAAAATATTATAAATCAATTGTCAGATGCATTCATTGACCTACCAAGGGTGACTAAGTCACATATTCCAGCTGCTAATGCTCCAATTCGATTTGATATCCCGGTAGAAAAATCAATTAGAGCAAATAATTTTAAACCACGCTTGTAACGTGGTAGACCAATCGGTTCAAAGGATAAAAATCCTCGAAAGAGAAAATGAGCAAATGATCAAAGTGATCATAATACGGAGGTAGTGGCTCAAGAAGAGCACGGAGACATAACAAATGATAAAACCTCAAGGGAGGTTCATGTACTTGAAAATGATGAAAATGGATAGATCACAATAAGTTATGTCTCAACGGAAAAAAGATGGAATCGAAATAATATTGTTATCGATAACATTTTTGCTTATAATGTCGCTGTTGAAATAATGCAACAAGATGAGGATCTTGAACCAAAATCTGTTGATGAATGTAGACAGAGAAATGATTGGTCAAAATGGAAAGATGCTATCCAGGAAGAATTAACTTCATTTGCGAAACATGAAGTTTTTGGGTCTGTAGTCCAAACACCAAATGGTGTTAAGCCTGTTGGCTATAAATGAGTTTTTTGTACGTAAAAGGAATGATAAAAATGAGGTACAAAGATAAAAGGCACGCCTTGTTGCACAAGAATTTTCACAAAGGCATGGTATCGATTATGAAGAGACGTATTCTCCTGTTATGGATGTTATAACGTTTCGTTATCTCATTAATTTTGCTGTGCATGAAAATTTTGACATGCATTTGATGGATGCGGTTATAGCCTATCTTTACGGCTCATTTGATAATGAGATATACATGAAAATTTCCGAGGGATTTAAAATGCCTGACGCACATAATTTGAAGTCCCGGGAAATATTTTCAATCAAATTGCAAAGATCTTTGTATGGTCTAAAGCAATCAGGAAGAATGTGATATAACCATCTTAATGAGTATTTATTAAAGAAATGTTATATAAATGATACCATTTGTCCATATGTTTTTATAAAGAAAATAACATCGGAGTTTGTTGTACTTGCTGTATATGTTGATGACACAAACCTTATTGGAACTCCTATAAAACTCCAAAAGGCAATTTATTATTTAAAGAAGGAATTCGAGATGAAAGATCTCGGAAAGACAAAATTATGTCTTGGTTTGTAAATTGAACATTTGGCAAACGAGACTTTGTTCATCAATCTCCCTACATAGAAAAGGTATTGAAACAGTTTTACATGGATGGAGCACATCAATTAAGTACTCCGATGATTGTTCGATCACTTGATGTGAATAAGGACTCGTTCCGACCTCAAGAAAAGAATGAAGAGCTTTTTGGTCCCGAAGTACCATATCTTAGTGCAATTGGTGCACTAATGTATCTTGCTAACACTACAAGGCTTGATATAACTTTTTCAGTTAATGTCTTAACAAGATATAGCTCTGCTCCTACAAGGAGACATTGGAATAGAATCAAACACATATTACGGTATCTAAAAGGGACTATCGATGTGGAATTATTTTATGGTAATGATTGCAATCCCGATCTTGTTGGTTATGCCGATGCTGGGTATTTATCTGATCCACACAAGGCTCGATCTCAAACAAGCTATGTCTTTACATATGGAGGCACTGCCATATCTTGGCGATCGACTAAGCAATCAATCGTGGCTACTTCATCTAATCATGCTGAGATAATTGCCATTCATGAATCAAGTCGAGAATGTGTATGGTTGAGCTCTATAATACATCTTATTCGAGACAAATGTGGTTTGAAGTGTGACAAACAACCCACAATTTTGTATGAAGATAATGCAGCATGCATAACCCAATTGAAGGGAGAATTAATAAAAGGGAATAGGACAAAGAACATTTCACCAAAATTATTTTTCACACATGATCTTCAAAAGAATGGTGATATCAATGTGCAACAGATCCGTTCAAGTGATAATATGGCTGATTTGTTCACCAAATTTCTACCGACGTCAACCTTCAAGAAACTAGTGTACAATATTGGGATGCGAAGGCTCAAGGATGTGAATTGATGCTCTCATCAGGGGGAGTTAATACGTATTGTACTCTTTTTCTCTTACAAGGTTTTGTCACACTGGGTTTTCCTTGCAAGGTTTTTAATGAGGCAACCAAAAGGTGTATTTCGAAATATGTGTACTCTTTTTCCTTCACTGGGATTATTTTTCCCACAGGTTTATTTCCTAATAAGTTTTTAACAAGGTACAATATCTATGGACATCCAAGGGGGAGTGTTATAAGAAAAATTAAATTATAGTGGATGTCTATTCTTCCTCCATGATCTTCTCAAATACTTAATGATATATTCAATGACATATTTCTATGCTTAATGACATATTAAATAATATATTTTTATGTTTAATGACATATTCAATGACATATTTTTCTTCACTTTTCATGCCTATATAAAGCCTTGTAATAGATAGGAAAATTCACACAATTGAAGAAGAAATAAGAATCCCTCTTCCTCTCTTTCTCTCTATATCTCCTAACTTATTTTTTCTTGTTCTATATTGTTACTTTGAGTAATATTTATAATAATTCTAATATATTTGAGATTTACATAGAATTTTCATTTCTTTTTTTTGGAACATATCATGCATGGATGATTTTCACCTAATCAGTTTTTTACTATTTGAAAAAGAATTCTTTAATAAATATAATTCTTTAATAAATAATTAGTACTTATTATTTAAATACTAATCTCACTTGAATAATGATACTTTCACTTCCCGTTCTAACTTCAGTCATTCTTTGAAATGCATTTTAAAATGTATTATTTGACTGGTGATTGAGTATTTTCGTGAAGCGGATTTATTTTTTATCAACATTTATTATTTTCAAGAATTTATATTTTTATTTTACAACTCAAACATAAATTTTAAATAAATCTGTATATAACTCCTAGGCTAGGATTCTCATTTATCCTTTTTACCATTTTTTGTCCTCTTTCTCATTTAACACCAGAACCGTTACCTTTTTGAAAGCAGCAAATGGTCAAATATACCCCTATACTATGAGAAAATGTTTAACTATACCCTTCGTTATACGTTCGGTCCAAATATACCCTTGCCAAGGTCGACATCCAATTATATATGACACTGACATTTGATGAGGTGGATGCCACGTGACATGCAAAATCAATGCCCCTAACCCATTTTACCCCTCCCTCTATTTGTTTTGTCACAAATAAAAAAAAATTTCCCTCCGCTGCCACCATAACCGCCAGTATTGTTGTGTTCCTTTGATTTATGAAAGATAAACCATTAAAAGAGCCTCTGTTTACGCCAAAGTTGATGAATAAACTACTTCCACAAAAACAAAAATATTGTCCAGATAAATTGTTTCTATTTAGAAATTCATTACTATATAACAGCAGAGGTCAATGGCAATACATCCTTTACTTGCGGAATAATCGCTACAAAGTCTTCTGATCCAGAAATTCACTACATAATTGTTTCTCTTTTTCTTTTTTTTGTTTTCCTCTTTAAGCCACACTAATAAGGAGTTCAGGGCTGGTTCAGGTGTGCATAAAGGGGACAAAATTTGGATCGATTATTCAACCAAACTCCGACAAACTAGCACTGTATCAGATAGTGCTCAACTATTAAGATTAGGAAAAAGAAGAATAAATTAACTAGTTTTTTTTTGTTTCTGTTAAATTGTAAATCTTAATTTTTCATGACTTTTACTCAATTCATTGATCGTTAGTCTACGCACTCAGTAGCAACGTAATTACTAAATTGTAATAGGTTTCATCGCACGATGACCACCAGGTTTCATATTAACACGCAACTAACATAAACGTGATGGAATTTTTGGAATCTCTTTACTCTTAGGACCCGTTTGGCCATGAGTTTTGTCAAAATAAATTTGGGATTTATTTGGCAAACACATGTTTGGCCATAGATTTTGTCCACATTTTAGCAAGATCCCAAATCCCAAAATCACCTCAATTGATGATTTTGGGCCAAAACATGACCATTACATTTTTTAAAATTTTTAAATATTACCCCAAACTTTTATAGTTTGTAAAAGAGCCCACATTTAAATAATCACCTCAATTTCTGCTCTTGCTCCTGCTTCTTTCTTTGTATCTGCTATCGAAAGAAACTGAGATTGATATCTACTCCGAGGAAGCTGTGACTACCCACTTGCAATTTGTCTTGCAAAAACATGGTTTAGTTGATGAAAAATTTTCACCAGCAGTGCCTTTCTTGCTTAACTCCAGCTTTCGCAAGATATTCGCTCATATGACCGAAAAAAATCAAATCGAATGGTTTAACGACTTAAAGAAAAATTGAGCTAACTGTTATTTTTATTTTGTTATGTTGTACTCTAATGCATGAAATGCTGATGCTAATTATTTTAGTTGTACGTTGTGGTATAGGCATGATTGTAATATGAGTAATGACTTCCTATATATAATATGAGTAATGACTTCCTATGTGTAATCTGAGTAATGAAGGTTATGTATATACAAGATAGCAAGTTTGTTTGTTTGGTACTATTGGGTATTTGTGATAATTTTTGGAACTTATGGGTATAAGTCATGTTTCATATTTTTTCAAATAAAAAGTGAAATATGTTTTGAAAAATCATGTCCAAACACATTTTCATCTTCAAATCAAACTTCATCCAAATCAGAATTTTCAAAACAAATTTGGAAATCTATGGCCAAACGCTAGCTTAATTTAAGGTGGTAAATTCGAATGATGGCATTAATAGTGGTAATGGTGGCGGAGAGGAAGGAAATTTTAGCGACGAAAAAAAATAGAAGGGAGGAGTAAAATGGAAGGTGGCATGTCATGTCATGTTACATCCATATAATCAAATGTCAGTAACACGTAAAATTAAATATTTATTTTGGCCAAACTTAACATAAAATGGGTATATTTTAACTAATAATATATTTAAACCTTTTGTCACGTCACAGAGAGTCAAGGTTTCGAACGTTTCATGAACACAGCCTCACCCCGTGAAGTCTATCCGAAACCCACTCCCAGTACATTTACCTTCTACATTTGCTTGGAGGGTTCCGAGGGTTCCTCGAAACTGCGTTTGAGAGAGGATAACAGTGCTGAGATCCGAAAGAGGCAGCGAGTAGAGAGCTTGTCCACTGAAAGGACGGTAGGTGGGTTTTTATATGTTGTAATTTTTCTCAATTTGGGTCTTGTTTACATACTCCATTTGTCTTTTTGATAGGTAAAAATTGGATACTAGAGTTCTAATTAGAGGCTTTTGGCTATCTTTCGTTGCTTAATCATTCAATTTTAAACTATGTTAGTTTTGTTACAACTAATGGTTGAATAGGGGATAATCAGTTTTAATTTTAAGGTGGATCGGCTTCTGCTGTATGATTGTCTAAAATAATTAATTTTTCATCTCGCTGATTCTGATTTATAGATGAATTTTTTCATTAATCAGAAATTAACTATCGGCATGATGCGGTACCCGTGGCAGAGTATAAGTGTAGCTTAGCTGTCAGTTAGTTGGCCGTCAGATTAGTTACTCCCTCCGTTTCACTTTGTTTGTGTAGTTTGACTTAGTACAAAGTTTAACTTGTGATCTAAAATATTTCATAAAATTTGTGTTAGTATAAAACTTTTGAAACTTGTTTTATTATATTTATGTGGCTAAAAAAGTTTAATGTCCAATCTTTTTGGAACGGACTAATAAGCCAATAGTTTCAAACAAAGTGGAACAGAGGGAGTATAATTTAACTAATTGGTTTGCAATACATGATTAGTTAGAGATAGGTTCTGAATAGTTGTATGTGTATATATATCTGTGTTGAGTAATAAGAGAGTTGCCTTATCATTTTCCTCCACAAATATCTTCTTTCTAGACTTCCTCCATTGATGAGCTTGTGAATTCCTTCTCCATAATCCATAATTCATACTTCAGCATAAAAGCTGATTGATCATGTATATTTTTAATCAGAATTCCATCAGTTAGACGTCTCATATTTGGGACTTGATTCTTTGAGTTTGGGGTCGTCCACTCTTTGTGCTGAATTTAATTGTTTGTTTACAGCTTCCACAAACGATCGATGATGTTTTGTCAAATGATACCAATCTGCAGCTGAAGGCTACCAGACAGATTCGAGAATGGCTCTCCATCGGTGTGACTAAGACTGCTTTTGCTGATTTTATTCAGTTTCCGTATTACTTAGGTATGACGATTTGTCTAAAACATTACCTATAACTTTAAATCTGTAACTTATTCATCACTCATACATGTAAGGAATAATCTTTTAACAATCAGGACCAGGTTATTGTACGTGCCATCTTGAATTGCTGGAACTCGGATTTACCTTTAGCCAGAGTTTATTAGTTTATCAGAGGAAGACAAAGCATGGATGATGTTTTAACTTCAATACCACACAAGAGGAGGGTGATTTGTGTGGTGTCCAATTTTTCGCGTGCACAGATCATGGAAGGACCTGGTTCTTCTATGTGTTCCTAATACTACTGTTGCGGAATAATAAATGCAGAAATTAAAGAATACAAGTATTTTACGTGGAAAACGCCTGGCTCAAAAGGTGAAAAAACACGACCTACTTCCCAGTAGGATTTTCCCAAACTCGATACTAAATCACTGAGCCAAAAATTACATTTACAAAACACTTTTGTAAATCTAGGATTAACTCTAATCCCGTTGTGGCAACCAACCTCTAACTGCTGCGACAACTTCAAGTTAACTCTAACTTGAATACTCTGAGTACCTATTACAATTGCCTCTAGTTAAAGCTGAAAGGTACAATATGAAAATACCTACTACAATTGAACTCGAATAAAAGACAGATACTTGGAGCTGATTCTTCTATCTGGTTCATGTAGCTTCAAGTTCGCACACTTGAATCACACACGAACTGCTTACAAAATGCCTTGCTATTTTGCTCTCAATTCACGTTTAACTTATGCTTTTGTGCGTCACCTGTAGAATGAGAAATTCCTACGATTTATAGAGTTAGTAGAGTAGAAAACAACTAGAGTTCTAATGCTACTCTTCCTTGGTGGAAGAGTTCTAGTTAATCTCAACTCCTAACTCATTCCTTATCTTGGATAATGTTCTCGTTGAGTAAGAAGTCATTCTCCTTATCAATTATGTAATCTTTTCGATCATGAGATATTTATTATTATACCAGATTTCGTTTATCTCCTGCATGTGCATCTCACGTGCTTTGAATCTGCCCGTGACTATGCTTACCGGTGATGGACCTGGTTCATCCCTGAGTTCCTTTGTCAATCTTCAAAACTATTATTTACTTGGGCCAACAATGGATAATCAAATGCGAACTGAAACTAAGCAATGTTGGAGTCTTCTGTGTCTATTCTTTGATTTGGAAGAAAAAAATCATAGTACACAGAGAGAATCAAGTCTTATACGTTGCTTTTTCAAGTAAAATATTGTATTGTAAGTCACATGTCAAGAGAGTAATTTCAGGGGAACATTATAAAACTTGCTTCTCTTTTCTTACTAGTTCATCTAGATATCCATTCAAATGCTTTAAAACTCATAAAAATTGTTCAAGAAGAGAACAAATAAGGAGACAAAAGTACCACTATGAAATAAGAGTATGAAAACCAGAGGTTATTATGTTTACTAAGGCTGAGAATGAGTAACCATGCTGGGAACTTTTCAAAAACTATAGGCGCATTAGCTTTGGCCCTTAACAGCCAAATAATCACCCACACACATTTTTAGGAAATAATCAGTCCTCTGAAGCAGTCCAACCTAGGTGTACTTGATTAATAGGGATGCTTTGCGTGGTATTGGAAGGACATGTACAAGGGTGAAATCCTAATGCTAAAAGCTTTATTTTTCTGCCTAATTTTTGAATGTGTCCACGTCCTACGTCCCGGGTAGTAAAGAAAAGTGGGATGCTATATTTCCAATAATGGGATTTGTCCATCTTTCAGGATAGTCCTATGCATTAACAAAAATGCAAACCATCATACTGACCAATATGAAAGAGAAAAATGCCTACATACCTATATATAGCAAACAAACATAACCAACCCACGAGGTTTTACCTTTGTCACAATTTCCAAAGTCCGACTCTAAAGTACTCCATCCGTTTCAATTTAGATGAGATAGTTTGACTCGGCACGGAGTTCAAGAAAAAAGAAGAGGACTTTCAAAATTTGTACTCTTAAAAGTTTAAGGGATAAAAGCTTTGTGGGGCCATGACATTTGTGTGGTTATAAAAACTTCTCATTAAGGGTAAAATGAAGGGTTTAAAGTTGAATTATTTTCAAATTTAAAAATGTGTCATTTATTTTGGAACAGATTAAAAAGGAAAGTACCTCATCTAATTTGAAACGGAGGTAGTAACTTGCGTCTATGGTTTAATAACTTGTGCATTTGTAATTATCTTTGCCCTTGATCTATACGTTACTTCTTTCATACAACCCACCAAATTGACCTTCAATTTGCACCAAAGTCAGGACCTAGTTGATAGAATATACAAGCGTTAAAAGATAGCATTACCGTCAACTAAATGTTTACAAATGATAAAACTCTTTCTTTCAAATGAATTTGAATATCTATTACATAGTTCAACCGCCTCTTTAACTGACATGGATGTACATGTCCTTAACAACAATTTTTTGGTTTTCTTCTTAAAATTAGACAGTAATATTTGCAGCGGCTGCAATTTAAAGCTTTTTGAACAGATGGGTGTGATGTATACACCATATAACTTGTCCAGCACGGAACCTTTAATCTGCTTTACAATATAATAGATGGTGGAGGAGGTGATGATGAATATTTTGCTCTCTCCTCGGCATTATTTTTTTATTTTTTCCCTTTAATATATATGTTGAAATTGTCAAAAGTCCCACATCGGTGGATGACAATTTTGAATGGGAATTTCACCCTATAAAAGGAGGCCTAATGTTTAGGATTTAAACACACCTCTCATTTGCCTTTTATCTTCTTAAGGCATTTGTATCTTCTCTCTTTAGTATTATTTCACTTGTAATTTTGGAGTGGAATAAAATATTGATTGTGTCCGAGGAAGTAGGCAAAATTGGCCGAACCTCGTAAATTCTGGCGTTCTTTTATTGTTGTCTTATTGTCTTGTTTATTATTTAGTGGTTGTCATAATTTTTGGTATAGTAGTTGTGACTCATTCACACTATATACATTTGGCTTCCGCAACAATTGGTATCAGAGCCAAGGTACTGTCTAAGTATGCTCTGTGGTTGCAGCATAGTCTGATCTTCCACATCAGAAAAGATCTATCTTGGTAACTGAGTCAAGGTTCTGTCTGAGTATGCTCTGTGGTTGCAGCATAGTCTGATCTTCCACATCAGAAAAGATCTATCTTGGTAACTGAGTCAAGGTTCTGTCTGAGTATGCTCTGTGGTTGCAGCATAGTCTGATCTTCCACATCAGAAAAGATCTATCTTGGTAACTGAGTCAAGGTTCTGTCTGAGTATGCTCTGTGGTTGCAGCATAGTCTGATCTTCCACATCAGAAAAGATCTATCTTGGTAACTGAGTCAAGGTTCTGTCTGAGTATGCTCTGTGGTTGCAGCTTAGTCTGATCTTCCACACCAGAAAGAAAATAATCTTGATTTGTGTCGTCAGCTACTAAATAATATTTGTGTCAAAATAGGAGACAGTAAACAAGAAAAATCTACATCAAGTGTCAATAATACGTCATCGTTGGCATCTTCGCTTATGACAAAAATTGTGTTAAATGCAAAATTTGCGGTAGAAATTTTTGACGGGTCAGGACATTTTGGGATGTGGCAAGGCGAGGTTCTAGATGTTCTTTTTCAACAAGGGCTAGATCTTGCCATTGAAGAAAAGAAGCCAGATGTTATTGGAGAAGAAGATTGGAAAATTATCAATCGTGTTGCTTGCGGTACCATTCGATCCTACCTTGCTAGAGAGCA